GCGCCCCTTTTCTTTACGTACACGTTCTTTCCAACTAAACATGACAGCCTTACACGTAGGCCAAAGGAATCAAGGCTTATTGGAACGCTGTCCAGAACAATCACAAAGAGTAATGAGTGAATTGAAAGATTCAAGTATAAATCTAAAAGCGTTTAGTCAAAAATTCTGCTGTCTGATTGGCTTTGCTAATCCTTCATTATTTAACAATAAGAGTGCGAGATTTCTATTTGAGCAACAGACCGAACTTTCTATCGGTGTACCGGCATAGTAACCTACTTGAGTTGTTGGGAGAACACGAGAAAAGTTTTGTCAATCACTCGCCCCAGGCTCTTTATTAACAAATTTTTCTCGCTTTCTTTTAACATCCCAAGGGGGTTTTCACGCTGGTAAACCTATAAAAATTGGGGTCTATTGCTTTTACAACACAACTTAAAACAAAGCAGATGTCAGTTTGGAACAGAAGAGTAACATCAAGTATTTAGGTGTTTTAACCATGTGAACTGTGTCATCATCAAAATAAGCAAGACCATAGCTATGATTGCTGAGCTGAGATACTTTGTTCCATTATCTGTACTCATGAATATTAATAAATCCTTAAGTTTTACCTTATTTGACTTATGGACTCTCCCCTTTTCTGGCCAAACGCGTACCGCAGATTTCGTCGCCACCCTAGAAAAGAAAAGTTAATGATATTTTATCGGCAGTAAAAGCTTCCACAAACTTTAGCAACAGTTACCCTTATCAGGGGATGGTTCCAGAAATCTATGAGGTACAGAGAGGGATCAAGCAGTACTCCACCCCAGTCCCCATTCTTGGACAGCTTTTTATAGCCAGCGTACAAAACTGTGAGACCATTATCACGAAAATCGCGAGTTATTGACAAAATATCGTGTCATACAAACATTTGCCTTGTAAATGTCGAAAGTAACCATCATCGCTTTGTTTATGCTTTACTATGTAACTCTCTCTCAACCAATCAGATTCAAAACTAAAACCAATCACGACTTGGTCACCCGCGTTTTCCCGCGATTGCTGAGCTGAAATACTTTGTTCCATCATCTGTACTCATAAATATTAATAAATCCTTAATTTTATGTTATTTTACTTATGGACTCGTTGCTTGAGGTAATGCGTCTAAAAACTATCTACACAAAATTATTGTTCTCCAAAAGCGAGTATATATTACGTCTAATCTACTTTGTTGATAGAAAAGAACATACAATCCCCTTATTTGTAAATGCAAAAATTCTGCCTGTTATCTTCTTATATTATGAAGCTGTATGTAAATTAATGCTCGATGTTCGTAACGACAGTGCACCTTCTAACATCATGAAACGTTTAACGAGAACTTCAAACATCCATACCTATATTACTCGTTCATCAACGGCACAACTCTTTAGCGTTAAGTACTCTAGGCTTAAAATGCAAAGAAAGGCCTTTT